TAATATGTTTACACAGAGAAAGACAAAGCCATAAACAGAAAGACAACCCCATCAATCTCACAATGCTAATACTTAATATTTCCAGGTATATGCATTCATTGTATGTGTATATATAATTACTTGTATGTGGTATGTTGCTTTAAAACTCATTTTCAAAAGCTTTCCTGATCTTGTTAGATTTTTCCACAATGTCATTTTAAATTGTGTCAGAGACTTGCAACATAGGAATAAATATTTTTCTCACATTGATACTTTGATGTTTATAATTTTGCTCCATTCCACTGAAAATTATAGCAAACGTCCCTGACTATATTTTATACACAGGTAGTATATAAAACCAAATTTCTGAAAGCAATATTCCTGATAAAAGCATATGCTTTTCTTCCAGTCCTTCATTGTACATTACCAAGTTGTACTACTAAAAAAGAATATAGCAATTACACTCAGTTTGGATATCTGAGATTACACTTGTCTCTCAAATTTGAATGCCACAGGCAGTTATCATTCATCTATTGTAGTCATTCTGGACTCAAAAAATTTGTTTTCCATTTGTCTGTTTATTTGAGTACTAATGAAATTTTGATTTTTACGTGTCTATTTCCTAAATTTTTTCAATATTTTTTTCTAATGGGAAGCTTATCTTGCTAATTATAAACCTCCACTTGGGCTAGAGAGATGGCTAGGCTCACAACCGTAAATATAATCCTTCACTTGTTACTAAATTTACTTAATGAACTCTCCACTCAAATAATTAAGTTTTTGTGGTGCCAAAAAAGTAAATTTTGCTCTTTGATCATTTGATTAAATATATTTATGCGCCTTGAGATTTTTAAAAAAATGTGAACTAGATTTTAGCTTTTCATTATTATTATTGTTATTATTATTATTATTATTATTATTATTATTATTATTATTATTATTTACAATTTATTCACTTTCTCTCCTGGCTCTACCCCCTCCCTCATCTCCTCTCAGTACCACCCTCATTTTCCCCCCCCATGCCCTTCCCCTAGTCCACTGATAGAGGAGGTCCTTCTCACCTACTATCTGGCCCTAGCCTATCAGGTCTCATCAGGACTGCCTGGATCCTCTTTTTCTGTGGCCTAGTAAGGCCACCAGGCCAGGGGAAGGTGATCAAAGAAAAAGCAACCAAGTGCTTTCCAGAGACAGCCCCTGCTCCCTTACTAAGGAATCCTATATGGAGACAGAGTTGCCCATAGGCTGCTTCTGAACAGGGGGGTCTAGATCCTCTCCATACACTGTCCTTGGTTGATTCATCAGTCTCTGCAGGGACCCCTAGCCTCAGATATTTTGTCTCTGTTGGTCTCCTTGTGAAGCTCCTTTCCCCTCAAGGTCTGTCTATCTCCCCCCTTTTCCTTAAGATTCCCTGCACTCTGCCCAAAGTTTGGCTCTGAGTCTCAGCATCTGCTTCTATATCCTGTTGGGTAGAGTCCTCAACATACTTAAATTCTCCTCATAGGGATGAATTTTCATGCATACGTTTTGAGAAGCAACTACAAAAAGGATTATTCCTTCGCTATGTTAGGATGTCAAGATTTTGTAGATGTGTTGAAATGGTAATGACTGGTAATTGATATACACACTGGGTACTCTGCAGTTCTGTGCTAAGTTCTTTCATTCATGTCTCTAAGAGTCTCAAATGAGAGAAGAGCCTCTTCTCAGATCTATTTCACAGATAATGAAACTAATGAGAATGGTACTGGAGGTCAAGAAAAAAAAATTATTAAGGCAAGAGACTTAGCAGTAGTGTGCCTATGTTTAAATTTCCACTGCAGTATACAAGATTGTAAAGGTGGACAAAGCCAAATTTACTCCTGAGTAAATTAATATTAAAGCATTGAAGTTTTTACACAATCATGGATATGCAAATGTGAAAAACTAGTTTTCCTCAAAAGTGTAGCTTTTAGCTTTACTTTAATTGAAAGGTAATAACGTTCTTTGTTTTTAGTTATAACAGAATTCGTCAACATGTGTACACTTATTTTTTATTTAAGTGTATTCACGGACATGCTATTTACTATTATTATTCATTTATTTGATTGTTCTTTAATTTTGGTTGGTTGAGAAGAAGGAGCTCATCAACCTTTGAACAAAATGTCAAGGGTTTTACTTTTACTGTAAAAATTACTTAAAACCAAAGCCTTTCTTCAGTTCATTCCGTATTAATTTAACATAATGTGAGAAACCATCCTCATGTCAAAAGTGAGTATAAATTTATAAAAAAGTATCTTCTGATTTTTTCATTTTTGTAATTTCTAGTGATTATGGTTTATGTGCAACACTGGCACACATAATTATCAAATATTTCTAAAATGTAACATTGCTAGCTTTAATCAAATAGATTTATAGTCACTGTCACATCTTGTTAGATATAATTACATGCATATAAATTTATCACTGATGATATAAGCCGTTTTGAGGGGAAGTGGAATGAATTATAAGGAAACAAGACACTGTGGAGGTTAGGAACACTCAAAACTCATGGAAGGCAAACAACGAGGAGTTCACAGACAAGCAGTCATCATATAGAATGTTGTACAGAATGTGGAATGCTGGGATGTCACACCAGTTTGGTGGCTGCTGGTTAGGAAGTCCCCACTCCAGTTCCATTCAGGGTGCTCATGATTATGGATCTCTCACTGACCTTACTTGTTTTTCTTTCTTTTTTAGTGTATTCTGTTTCTTCAGCAAATCGTTTTTCTGTGTTGATTCAGTTTCATTGTGTTTAAGATAGATAAAGCACAATTTTTATTATTGAAAACAGATTCTTCTCTCACACAGTATACCCCTACCACAGTTTTGACTACCTCCTCTCCTCCCAGACCCCACCACCTCTTTTATTTCCCTTTGCAAACTAGCAGGCCTCCTAGAGATCACCCAACACGACAAAAAGAAAGATACAATAAAGCAAGGCAAACATGGGTGTGACCAGCCAGTGTCTGGTTTAACTTGAAGCCCACGCCGTGAGAGGAAACCCATGCCCACCACTCTACCACTGCCTGGATGGCCAGGAACTGGAGACTGAGTGGGACACAATTCTAAAAGTGATATTAGCCTTTCTGTTATTACACATTCCACTGGATGACAACTGCTTTTATACACATGGTGTTTCTTAGCGAACATAAACCTAATTTGAACTTATTTTCATCAGTGAAATACTCACATTTCTTGATTTATTTGCAGCATTTTTATCTTATATTTGATCATATTTTTCTTCATTTTCATCCATTTGTACTCCACTATATTTTTAATATAGCTTTTAAAAATTAATAGTCTGAGTCTCAAACTATCTAATTATTTTGAAATACATGTCCCCTAGTTGTAGTAGTCCTAGATGTAGTCCCCTACATCTTAATAATGTATCTTCTAAATCTTCTTTATTTAGTTTGAGGTTTGCATAATTTCTTTTCTTATGGCATGCCTAATTACATAAATTATGGGTTAAATATATATAGTTATTTTACATTTGTAGAGTATATTATTATATTATGTATATCTTTTGTTATGCCCCTGTATTCCATACTAGATATGTTTTGTTATTTCTGATGACCAAATTTTTTTCATAATCTTTATATTAATGATTCAGTTTTAATTTAATCACAATTTTATGTGTACTTATTCAAAACACATTACTTTACATTGTTTCCTAGTCTATAGTGATAAATTTTAATTAATAGCCCAGGAACATAGAGTCCTTATTGAAAAGTTGTTTTGAATACAGTTAGCAAGATAAATTCCCATTTCATTGTAAATCTCTGACAGTTTTTTTTATTTTTATTTTTTTATAAATGCTTTAGAATACAATTCACTATGGCTGGGTATAGAAATTTTTTTACAGTTTCTTACTTTAAAATATAAAATATTGTACTGTTTTCTTATTTTTAAATACAATTGCAGTCAAAACTAAAAATGCATATTTTATAATTATTACCCATCCTTAATGCATATTATGCTGTAATTAATTCACCCTATCATTTTCATGTATAATTCAGTTTTACTGCTCCATGTTTTGTTGTTGTTTCTTTGTCATTGATTCATAGCTCAGGTAGCACTCTCCTAACCTTAACACAATTCTGTTTAATTCAATTGTCATTTAAAATTTTTTCTGAGTTGGAAAGCTTTGGGGCACAGTATGAAAAAAATATCAATTAAGGGGAAATATATAAAAAGTGTGTGCCATAAAAGATCAAATTAGAGTACAGTCACAGCATAGTCCATAATAAGGCTATGAGAATAACGACGTTTTATTAGTATGCAGAACTGCAAAAACAACCTCAGCAACCCTTGCAAGGATGATATAGAAGGTGTGTACAATAAAGTACTTTATCACTACATACAGGATTCTAAACATAGTTAGCTAATTGGCAGCGATGGAGGCCAAAAGAGTTACAGTTCTGATACATAAAGACAAAGGGATAGAAGAGGTGTCTGTATACTTATTATTGTGTATCTTCATCTTGGTAGTAATTTAAATTTATTGCAAAAAATAATTAATATCTTGGGTTTTACATACTAATACGTGCTTGTGGTCTATCTGAGTAAGAATGTATTTTGAAAATCTGAACAGTGCACCCATTTATTTAACTTCAAACATGCCTACAATATATCTTTGTAGTGTTTAAAGATATGTACAAAATATACTGTTTCACATACAAACACCATGTTAGTACTGCTCAGTTAGGACAAAATGCTGAAGTAAATGGATAAATGTATTTGACTAGAAGCATCTACCTGTTTTGTCTGGGAATTTGCCCATAGGTAAACATCTTCATTGCTAATGAAGATTTCTTAGGAAAAATATGCCAGACTTTTATTGTGAATTTATTTCCCGACATTGGGATTGAAACTAATTTTTAAGAAAGAAATCACAGAGCTAAACTCAGTTTCGGCCTCCCTGCGTTTCCTTGGGATTAGGGAAACTCAGTAAATGAGAGATCCCATTTCTCACTTTTCTTTTTTTTCCTCCCTCCACACAAGACATGCTGCCCGGGAAATCTGTCCTCAACCAAACTGGGACCCCAGAGTTCGTGTTCCGGGTCTTCACCAATGTCCCTGAATTCCAGGCTCTCCTCTTCCTCCTCTTCCTCCTTCTCTATCTGATGATCCTCTGTGGCAACGCTGCTATCATCTGCGTGGTGTGCACCCACAGCTCCCTGCGCACACCCATGTACTTCTTCCTGGGCAGTTTGTCCCTCCTGGAAATCTGCTACACCACAGATGTGGTGCCCTTGATGCTCTCCAACATCTTTGGGGCCCGGAAGCCCATATCACTGGCTGGCTGTGGGACACAAATGTTCTTCTTTGTCACTCTGGGAAGCACTGACTGCTTTCTCCTTGCAGTCATGGCCTACGACCGGTATGTGGCCATCTGTCACCCTCTGCACTACAGCCTCATCATGACCCAGAAGCTGTGTGTCCAAATGGTACTGGGCTCTTTGAGCTTGGCGCTTTTCCTCTCCCTGCAGCTCACTGCCTTAATTTTCACCTTGCCCTTCTGTGGACATCACCGGGAAATCAATCATTTCCTTTGCGATGTGCCCCCAGTCCTGCGCCTGGCCTGTGCTGACATCCATGTGCACCAGGCAGTCCTCTATGTAGTGGGCATCCTGGTGCTGACCGTCCCATTCCTGCTGATTTGCATCTCCTACGTGTTCATTGCGTCCACTATCCTGCGCATGCGCTCTGCAGAGGGCCGCCAAAGGGCCTTTTCCACCTGCTCTTCCCACCTCACTGTGGTCCTGCTGCAGTATGGCTGCTGTAGCCTGGTGTACCTGAGGCCCCGCTCCAGCACCTCAGAGGATGAGGACCGCCAAATCGCCCTGGTCTACACCTTTGTCACCCCGTTACTCAACCCCCTGATTTACACCCTTCGGAATAAAGATGTGAAAGGTGCGCTGAAGAACTCCATATTCCATAAAGCAGTCTGAGAGTAGGTAAATATGTCAGGTGATAACAAGGGACTTGGGTGTGTGACTGTCAGTTAAGTCAACTGAAAAGGAGAAACAGAATTTACTGTTTTCAACACTACTTTGTGAATTTTTTTAAATCATGTGTTCCCCAGGATAGCCACACTCACTTTCTTGAACTCATAGAATTATTTTAAAACTTGAATACAGCTTCCAATATGGAAGCGTCATTCTACTTGACTCAATTTTAAGGATCCTCAGTTCACACAAGACCGTTGCTTCCTTGGGAAACCTCACATATGTACTACATTTGGATAAAAGCTACTGTTTGTTCACATGCTCCCTCCTGAGGAGGAAGAAAAACTCATCCTATGGTAGGACGTTACTTGTATTCTTAAAAGGGGGAATATTTTCCAAAATAAATGTTTTTCTGGGTTTGATGTGAAGATACAGTCTGCAATTGCCTGTTAAATAGATGGGTTTCCTTCATGTCAGATGTTTCCACTGGAGACTTCATGAGCTACTGCTCATAAGGAAACAAGGATTAGCTTCCACCTTCCACCAGCCAAGCACCTATGGAAGACTAGAAGACTATCCCAAGACCTAACCCTTGTGGCTCCAGCACAAAGCCTCTCTGCTAGAAATTCTGGGAACCAAGTTTGCTCTTTCACCCTCCTCTCCACTTCCTTTCTTGATGAGTCCTGGTCCTGCATCTGCTCAGTCTCCTTCTGTACCAGCAAGAACAGAGCCAATCAATATTTATCTTCTCCCAGAACATCTGTGTGTAGGAGGGGCATGAGGGGTGTGTGTGTGTGTGTGTGTGTGTGTGTGTGTGAGAGCATGCTAAGTCTGGACCATAAAGCCCACGTACTTTTGAGCTGGCCTAAGAAATTGGCATTAATTTCCTGAATATGAATCTGTGTATACTAAGTCCTGAGATATTTCTGGTCTTTAAGCCTATAATTTACTCTCGTATTCCAGCAACGTCTCAATGAAACCAAATTTAATCCGCTAAGGTACAGTAGTACACTAATGACCACTGAATTAGTTCTTAACCATACAGTTCATGTGATTGACAGTATGATGCAATGGCATAATGAAAAATATATGTTCTGATGAACCGGACAACTTGGATCAGAAATTGAAATCAGTACATCAGTCTTGACACCAGATACCATTACCAATTGACTCATCTCACTAGCTGACCACCTCATTCTATGTAATTACCTCACACTTCACAGCCTTTCTTGTTACATTCCATGTTGTGTGAGCTGATAGTGGACCATTGTGCCAATACTTCCCACACAAAATATTGCCCATCTTATGGACTCAGAAGAAAAGCCTTAGTGAAAAATACAGTTTTTGATTTCCCATGTGGCCACAAGAAGCCAAGTACAGACACAACTTTAAAGTTCAAGAATGGTTTCTATGTTGAACCTGGGCTAAAGGAAAACATAAAATACGAAGGGACAAGAAAATAAACACACATTTTTATCTCTGCTCCATGAAATTCAACTGCAAATTTCCCTTCTATTTATGTAACATGACTTCATGTTACATAAGTAGGTCTGAGGAATAAATTGCTCTCACTGTTAAGTGTTTGTTGTGAACAATTATTCTTGCAGTAACACACTGTGTTACAGTGATACACAATTACCTCAGGCTGTTTCTTGTAATCTTTGTACTTTCTTCTTTGAACCTTTCTTTATCCAAAGAAAACATGACTCTGCTTTCTAGAAAACTCCTCATTAGAACTATAATAAAATAATTACTCAAAAATATCTGTCATAGGCAAATCATGAAAAGAAAGATTCTAGGCAAATCCACATTCATTTTTATTTAGTTAGAGATAGGTAGATAGCTGAATGATAGAGAGAGAGAATGATATGATAGGTAGACAGGTGATGGAGATATAGAGTAGATGAATAGATGATAAATAGATATAGATGATAGATCGATGATAGGTAGACAAATGATAGATTATAAATAGATAAATGATAGATGACAGATAAATACAGACAGATAATTATAGATAAATGATACATAGATAGACTGATAGATGATAAATGATGGATAGATACACAAATAGATAAATAAATGGCCATTCCTTTGCATTACTTCTTTGTTTTAAATATTAGTCATGAATAAATGCAACATGAATGTTATGATATCAGTTAATGGTGCACATTTTTGTTGCTCCCTTTTGAGTACATAATGGATGTTTTTATTTTAATGACAAGCACATTTTGTTAGGAGGTACATGAAAGTGTTGTAAGGGAAGAAATAGGAATTTGGCGGTGTATCTGACTGTGCAACCTACTTTTTCCTCATGCATTTTGGAGTATATTTCAGACTTCCCAGTATGCTAGGAACCATTCTATTCTCCCCTTCAATATCAAAAATCCATATTTTAATTATATTCTTTGATATTAACAACACAGCTGCTCCATGGATTTCTCAGCCTTAAATAGGATATCTATGTTATATCTGCTCTCTACCTGGTGCAAGAAACATTTCGGGACAGGTACCGATTGTAAGAGCCATAGGTTGTGTAAGGTTGCTGAAAACTTGTCCTTTGAACACAACTTAGTGTTGTCCTCAGGAATTCAAAGTGTCCTTGACTTACTGCAGAAAAATGAGCCATGCAGAACTCCAACATAGATAAGGGAAGGGCTAGTGAAATCCCATTCCTGCCTGAGGTGCTTTGGCAGGTGAAGGAAAAATCAGCTTGATGTCTTCAGGATTTGTCCATGACCCACTGAATGTTTTTCAACATGTACATATGGACAGTACTGATGGATCCCAGTAAATACCCCAAATCTGTATTTCTGGGACATGCTTACTAATATTTGTCACCAGAATAAGCTATTTTGTCTACTTTGAGGGAAAAGCCCCCTAGTGACTAAATCATTAGTATTTACAAACTGGGTTTAATTAATCTACAGATAAAAAGGCTGTTGACTATATCATCCCTCTATCAATGACATCTTGGTGTATCACAATCTCTGGCAGAGGATGCCAGCTCAACTCAGAATATTTACTCAGTATTCTCCTCTGCTAAATACTAGGGGAGTGGGGACAGAGAAGGAATGTTCAAAATGCTTCCATCTTCCTGGAAACGTAAGACACCCGCAGGCTACAGTTTATTTGCTCTGAACAGCACTAACTAACTAAATCACCAGGAGAAAATCATAGCACAATAACGGTGCTGAGGGAAAAGGCAATGCTACCTGTCAGTTGCCCGTTTGCTTCTTCCAGACTACAGTGTGAAAATTACTGTTCATCTTGAGGAAAACCTTCTAGAATATTGTCCCTAAGGATTTGGGAGAAGTTGAATGTCCCATGCGGGACAAAAAACCGAGCTCAGTTCTCTCTGTGGCTTAAGGAAGGTCTGACAAATTCAAGATGGCTTCCGTTTTTTAGCTACTCTGGTTGAGCCCAAGAAAGCTCTGGAGTGTGGGTTCCAGCAATGTTCCGAGATTTTTTTAAATTTTTTATTTAACTTTTATTAATTACACTTTATTCACTTTGTATCCCGCCCATAAGCCCCTCCCTCCTCCCCTCCCGATCCCACCCTCCCTTCCCCTTCTTCATGCATGCCCCTCCCCAAGTCCACTGATAGGGGAGGTCTTCCTCTCCTTCTTTCTGATCTTAGTCTATCAGGTCTCATCAGAAGTGGCTGCATTGTCATCTTCTGTGGCCTGGTAAGGCTGCTCCCGCCTCAGGGGGAGGTGATCAAAGAGCAGGCCAATCAGTTCATGTCAGAGGCAGTCCCTCTTCCCATTACTATGGAACCCACTTTGACACTGAACTGCCATGAGCTACATCTGTGCAGGGGTTCTAGGTTATCTCCATGAATAATCCTTGGTTGGAGTATGGAAGTCTCTGGGAAGTTCCCTGTGTTCAAATTTTCTTGATCTGTTGCTCTCCTTGTGGAGTTCCTGTCCTCTCCAGCTCTTACTATTTCCCACTTCTTACATCACCATGGACAGATGAGCTTCTGAGAGTTTACCACTCTTTTGCCCCTCCCATAAGAGCTTAACTCAAACACTTTGTATAACATTCCTGGTGGATGAGAAAAATAGAGCAGGAAGGTAAAGCTATAAATGGTAATAAAAAGTCAAAAATATACTAGTCCTGACTCTAGTCAATGCCAGTCCAGCCCAGGACTTAGTAACTGCACGTACTCTCAGGCTACTTTGTGAAGATCACTGCCTACTCTTTATCAGATCTTACCTTCAGCATGGAGTGACTCTTCTACATATGGCTCATTTACTGTCATGTAAGCTAAGCATCTCAGGAGAGTTCGGAGCTGCTGTTCCATTCTCAGCAGCTTATTTTTGAAAGAATCCCAGTGGTGGTGTTTTATTCTTTTCTGGCCATTTCATGGAGAGAAACAGCAAAGAGACAGCAACTTGAGCGACTGGAGAAATGAGAAGTGAGGTGGACCAACACCTCTTCCCTCATAAGTTGATTTTCCCAGTATGTTTCAAGGATGCTCAAGCTCATCAAACCTCCCTTTCTTGTTCTTATGGGATAACTCATGAGGTTACAATGGTTTCAGGCCAACTATTCTTTCATAAAACCCTTTTTACTGTACTAAAGACCCATTCCCAGGTGTTAAACATACAAGGCTAAGGCCAATTCACACCTTTCTTTTCATATCCAGTTCAAAGCTCAGTTCTCCATGCAGGGGTTCATGCTCTTCATCACCCCCCTCCCCCCCCCCCCCGCACGGTGAGGTCATTATAGCCATTCACTGGTTCCAGTTCCTAGACTGATCAATTAGAAAGTTCCCACAAAGGTAACATTCTTGAAAATACCTCATTTATAAAAGAGTCACTGGCTGACTTCTAGCTATGCCAGCTTCCTTTTCCCTCAGCAGGGAGGAGTCTTAGTCACGGCTGGAGTCCCCATACTTGGCTGAAACTTGGGCATTGGCTTCCATTGTACTACTAGAATTATATTAATGCATCTTTTCCTTTTGTCTCTGGGAACTCGCTTCTCCGGAAGAACTGTAT